ACACCTACAAGATTTTTTCTCCATGAAAAAGACTTGTCTGGTCTTTTCATGTACATGTATTGGTGGTATTTGAAGGTACACGCAATAAAGATTTTATAATTAATAATAATAACAATAATATAAACCTGCGTTGAATTTTGCGATCCTTGTCCTCACTCTAGCTTCATGGCACGCCATCACATCAGATCTGCGAACACTTCATCAGTTGAGCGGCGGGTGCCGCCAGAGGAGCTGCCACTACTCATCGTCACTACGCTGCCCTGTAAAAATGGACAAATCTGTTAACAAATCGTCACCCGCTGCCCTGTAAAAATGTGACAAACTGTAAATTCGCTTACCGCCGCTGCCTGTAAAAATGTTGACAACACCTGTAAAAGTCGTCACCCCGCCTGCCCTGTAAAAATGTGACAACTGTAAAATCGCTACCCCGCTGCCCTGTAAAAATGTGACAATCTGTAAAATCGCTACCCGCCTGCCCTGTAAATGCTGACAAACTGTAAAATCGTCACCCCGCCTGTCTGTAAAATTGACAACCTGTAAAATCGTCACCCGCCGATGCCTGTTAAAAATGTGACAAACTGTAAAATCGGTCACCCCGGCTGCCTGTAAAATGTGACAAACTGTAGAAATCGTTACACCCGCTGTCCGTAAAATTGTGAACAAAACCTGTAAAATTCGTCCCCCGCTGCCTGTAAAAATGTGACAAACCTGTAAAATCGTCACCCCGCTGCCTGATAAAAATGTGACAAAACCTGTAAATCGTCACCCGGCTGCCTGTAAAAATGTTGACATAACTGTAACATCGTCACCCCGCGTGTCCTGTAAAAATGTGACAAAACTGTAGAAATTGTCACGATTTCATCGAAATCCTCGGTCGAGCGTACGTCGAACATCGACGCCACTTCGCGAGATTCTGTTGGCATGTCCTCGTTGGTACAAGGACTCGTGTTATTATCATTGTTTTTTTATAGCAACCTTTATGGTTGTGTTATTTTATGGCCATGACTACGCGTTCCCGTTAACGGACGCCCAGCTCCGGCTTACATGCGTGCGGTCAATATAATTCTTTATTGAACCTATATTTTTTACGTAAAAAATAATAAACTATAAGTTTTTTTACCATATCATTACTTGACCTTTAAGGTATTTTAATCAAAACAATCGTGGTTTTTTGTTAACTTTTGAGCAATAGTAAATTCAGTTAAAAATCAACGATTTTGAAAGGGGGCTGTGGCCTATCGGTGAAATATTAATTGTTGATGGATTGGGAATCTTGCTGCTGAGCTTTTGAAATGGATGACCGGATCCGGGTACGCACCTGCGTATTATTGATTACGTTTTTTTTCGCCCTCCTGTTATTATGTGTTTCTGGAGTGCCATCATATGTCATAACAATCGGTAGCTAATGACATTATGCGACGATTTGCTTGCCAATAGACGAGTTCTCATTATTAGAATTCGTCTCATGCATCCCTACATGTCACATATTTCACAACAGACAAGTCTGAATTTCATTCGTGATTAATCGAATGTTGTTCTCTAAGGCATAATTTGTCACAGTAGTACGTGAAATGACATTTGACGGTGTGGTAACTTGTAACGAAGGAAGCCGTAGCTTATAGTTAAAGTATCGTTTTACATCGCAACCATGCTATTCTTTAGACACTTGAACCTATGGTTTCAGCGTCCACTGTTAAGATGCGCCAGTTTTTTTATAACTATGTGGAATTGTGGGTTCAAAAGCTACATACAGTACATGTGCCCATATTTAAGCTATGTTGAATCACAAAGGTGATTTACTACAGGCTCGGCTACAGCCGTATGTGTTATTATAACACAGAGTTAGAGGCCTACACAGATGATGATTGGTGATGACAGACAAATGCATGCCTGAAAATTTTGGGGATAGTGAAAATAAGAATAGCAGATGGTCTGCCTGGCCAACACTGGAACACAGTTCAATCGATGTCAAACCCTACCCATGCAAAATCGCCAAAAACCTGTGCCTAATGTGTTATGTAGTGGATCTTTAAACAAAGCATATTATTCTAACACACTCAGCGACTAGCTGATTTTCCAGAAATATTACGATCAACAATCACACTTCGCCCCTTTATATATTGTAACCATAACGAGTCTAGCCGAATTTCGACTTTGCTGACATAAACAAGGAAAACACACTTCCCATGTTATTACTTGAAATCACTCTGTTTGGATTTGGACTGAACGCACAATGAGCACTGACCTAATAAAGTTTGACATGCTCACGTCGAAATCATGTGTGACTCGCAACAGCTTTGTGCTTGCGGAATACACAGAAACTTAGATTTTCTTCACCCCTTATTTGCTCAAATATGCAGCGTGAGGTAGCAGCACATGTTCACATGTTCACCTTAAAGTGTACCAATACAGTTGATGAGCAAACCGCGTACAGGTTGCCCGCCTGGGCTATAGGACCAGACCATTAGGGATGCGCAGGGCACCAAGCTTACTCCAGCAGTCAGCGGGGCACTATGTATTTTCCGCACGTCGGAGGGCTCCGTGGCGGGTTGTGTTGGTTGTGGACAAAAACGTTTGTTGTCAAGTAACAAATTAATAATAGTATTTGCTTCATCTTTCATGACAAAAAACGAACTCTTACAATCTTTTTTGATATCCGCTTAAATTTGTTCATTCGAAAGCAACAACACAGTGTTTTTCGTTCACAACAAACCAACCCGTTCACCCTCAGCGCTGCGGAAATACATAGTTCCTGCTGACTGGCGCTGCTGCAGCGCCGTCGCCAAAATGGCCCGTTTTGAAGTTTCGCAAATCGAATGTTCGTTCACCAGAAATACCGCAAGTTTACCATTGCAACGAATGGTTAAACTTATTTAGTAGCTGATATACTTAAGAACATATTTCACTTTCGGATAAGATGGCATTAATTGCGCCTACACAGACGTTTTATTTAGTCGCGAATGAGCGTGACTAAGTTGGTTCCCGGCATCCCTAATGGCTGGTCTCATAGACCAGCGCAACTGGTACTGCGGGCTTATAGTTACTAGAAGCTAGGTTACTGCTGATACTACAGACTGCAGACCTTGTATCTACGTGTACTCTTGCGCAAGTTTGTTGTTTATTCTCTCACTCAGTGCTGCTTCCCGGTTTTGCGAAATGTTTTTGGCATTTGCTGATATAATTAATTGATTAATACTAGAGCTACAGCCTACAGTATAGCCTACCCTAGGTACTACTCTAGTACTACCACTCTAGCACAGCGGAAGATTTTTTAAATTTGAGACCCTTGCAGTTAGAATTGAATGTCTGAAAAACGAGGGTTATGTGATTCGTTTCCTGCTGCAATAACGGTATATATAAGCACAGGCTTCCATTTTTAAAGGGCGCGATCGCGCTCCACCATGCACCCGAAATTGTGCCATGGTGCGTGCATCATCGCGCCTCATAAAAGTGGTTGAAATCGCACACCAAAAGTATGTGTATTATGTTGAAATAGCGCTCCATAGAGTTGTCAATTGTCAATGTAGGGGGGTACAAAAAGGTTAGCAACACACAACAATTTGTGGTGTGTAAATAACTGAACGTATGGCAGAAGTACAGGTTACTACCCTCTGGTTTATACAACTAGACAACAGCATCCTAATACAGGTACCTACACGGTAGCCACAAGTTACCTGCTCGTTTTCCACTATACGTGGCGAGAAGTGGTTTTCTGCCGACGTGAAACAGTCGTAGGGCTGGAGGGGCTACATACGCGGCTACTACGTACAAGTAATTTGGCTAGTTTGTTGATGGATTGTGATGATATTTCGTGATGAAATATGCAGGTACATGGATTAGAGTCTCTAATGATGAAGATCAGAATAAATAAAACAAGTTTATTTTTACATCCGATCAACTCTTTTATTAATCTGTGTCAGTGTGTGCTAGTGTTGGGTTGTTGGATGAAAAGAATGTAATCATGACGAAGCCATTGAATGAATGAAGGTGAAGATGAATGATAATTAGTGGATTGACATGACATCCCAATTTTCGTTTTGGATTTCACTCTAGACTGAGGATTGGTCATGATTCCATCATCACACCCCAAGAGAGGCATGATGGAGAGCCCTCAAGGAGCTCTCCATCATCCCTTTTAAGGGTGTGATTATGGAGCGTGAAAAGATCCCCTATGGTGTCCTAGGGGAGTCATTAATAGTCCTCCTGTACTTTTCAAATCTGAAAGCCTGTAAAAGCAGCCTATCCGGGCTAAATATCCACGTCATTACTACAGCGTAGATGTTTGACGTGTTTGTAAACATTGACGGGAGACGACGGAAAACTAGGAAACCAAACATGAAAACTGCAAATTGAACGACAGGTCAATCTTAGGGTTACCTTGAATATTAGCGATCCCGTCTATCACGAAGGTGTCTCCATTGTTTTTTAAACTGGCGATTAACAACTTGCAAATGCAAACAGGTTTTTACCTAAAGCTGAATTTCACGAAGGCTGCAAATTTACTGACATAAAAACTGTGTCACTAGTGCTGCCACCTATCCGTAAAAGTTTCCTCCACCTGGATTTTGTTATCCATCACCAACGTTGCGAGGAGCATTCTGTTTTCCATTCAATGATATTTATTACCTAGTAATAAAATTATAATTGAGTGAATTTATTTACTAAGCAGATTTGTCGTTTATTTATCATAATAAAATTCTCATTGTCCTGTAGTCATTGTGTCCGTCTGGTCGTATTTTTTATTTTGGCGAGGCCATTCGAGATTTCCTTCTCAGATTTGTGACTGGTAGTTTCTTTATGACAACTGTAAGTAAGTATTGAAAAAAAAGTCTTTTTTTTAAGGGATAATCCATGTAATTGCCTCGATGCCAATTTTAGATACTGCAACGTACTACAACAGAAAAAAGTTATTGTCTCCCACGACTGCACATGTATATGTATTTTCTCCCAATTACTATCCAGTGTCTAAAACCACCTCACCACCAGCAAATTCCAATGCAGTGAAAATTCCCATAAATAATTAGAGCCATTAATTTTTGACAGTGCAAGGAAATACTTCACAAAGACCAACATAACCAACTCTCGCACAGTTACGAAATTTACTTATAAAATATCATAGACACACACACATACACATATTTTCTATACGGCCGCAACACTTCGCAGAGAGACGCGAAAGCGATCACAGCACCGTTTTCGACAGGTTCGTGAATCCAGCGCCGACGCACGTCAGCATGACCTTCTCCGCGCCCATCCTCAGCGCGTCGCCGTCGTCGTCATCCTCCTCCGCCTTCGTCTGCACCTCTATCTTGAAGGTCACGTGCAGAAAGTCGCGAACGTGACGTAGAAACTCGATCGTGTACGGCGTCAGCGCGCCTACGACCATCTTCGACACGTCCTGCTGCCCGAGCGCCATCAGCAGCAGCGCGACGCCCTGATTCGTCGAATCGACGATCCCTCCGCTGTAGATCTCCTCTAGGAGCGCGTGGGCGGCCTCTCTCCCCAGGTCCTCGGGCACGGAGGGAGGCAGACCCAACCCGGCGGCGTGCGACGAGACCTCCGCGCCGAGGAACGTCCCCGCCGTCGTCTCGGCGACCAGCGACACGCCGAATCCGGGAGACTTCCCGGACGCGGCGCCGCGCGCGTGGTCCGTGTAGATGTAGACGTCGGGGAGGAAGCGGTTGAGGACGGAGCGCGCGGCGTCGACGCATCGGTTTGCGACGGCGGGGGAGACGCGGGCCGCGTAGGCGACGCCGCGCACGCGACGCACCTTGCCGACGTCCGTCAGCTGCAGCGGCCGCAGCTTCTGCTTGTTGGGACAAGAGAACGTCACCTCGCCGCCGCCGCCCGGTGGCGCCCCTCGGCGAACGACCTTCAGCTCCAGGCCTTCGTCGTCGACGATGAATCGCTTAAGGAGAGGCAGCGTCGTCGCCTTGATGAAGTCCACGGAAGGATCGACCTGCAATCGCGACAAGACCCGCCGTCAGGTGGCGCTAAGGGGGCGGACGTGATGATTACGAGTCGAAATCCAAGTCTAAAGTTTAAGATATTACACAGTAGGTGGCGCAACATGCCAGACTGTAATTCTTCCCCAATGGGGACAACCTAGCTAATCAGAAAGTGGAGAGACACTGAAGAGCATTAACGAAGTTCTACCACAAACACTGAATTCTTCCCTCTGCTATAGGCATAGTTTTACTGTATGACTCACTACACGCACCACACGTCTGCGTCACGTTTACCTGATCATTTGTGACACCTTTCAGGGTGGCTTTTATCGGTTTCTTTGTGAAAGGTGCTAGACAGATGAGGGCTTCCAAGTAGTAGCCGATCCCTCGCTCTGGGTTGCAATCATGTTCGAAGGTTCCACCCAGCAGCAGTCCCGGTTGAAAGAACAGTCTCGTTCCTGTCGCATTTATCTCAACCCTGAAAAGTAAAAATAATTAGAATTAATTTTAACAGCATACCATCACGATTCAATTAAAAGATGATCGTTTGAATCTCGATGAGGTTGTGAATGTTATGTCTAACAATGGTTCCTGCAATTATTTATAAGGTTAGGGGCACCTGGCAAAGTGCATCTTTGTTATGTTATGTTATGTTCTCACACTTGTCGGTGTCCACTACCGAGGGCGATATCTTTGCCGAACAACGAATTGTCAATTGCTCACACTGTCACTGTTACTCGTAATTCGATTATGTAGAATATCAGTATTAATAATAATACTATTATCACTATTTATAATAGTATTAGTAATAGTATTAATAAAATTATTATTACGAGTGTTTGTTTTCATTCGCTCCTATATGATGACGATTTCCATGTCGTGGAGATTAGTTTCGTGTACTATGCATATTCAGTCGACTAGTTTATGTACTATACTATAGACGTATAGTCTGAGACTGTAGTCTGTACTATCAGTATCAGTAACTATCACTATCAGTATCAGTGTACTGTAGCCTGATATCTGAGACAGTACTCAGTAGGACTCGGAGTCAGACTGTACCTTGAACCGTTTGTCAACGTATCGAGTAGGCGGATAAAGCTTGCTTCAAATTTCCGTAAGCCGGGGTTGTCATCTTTATATCTTATATTACTGATCCGAACAGACTTGCCACTCAAGATCGATAGGATTAATCGCTGCCGAATAAAGTTACAACCCTCGTACTCCAACATTGCATCTGACTTGTCTCGCTCCTTTGAGAATCATGGAGCGGTCGTGGCGCCATCGAGTGGCAAGTGTCGTCATTTTTAAGTTATACGAATTTTTACTGTTTACTGTTGACTCTGCGAATAAAAAGAGAAGCCATTAAGTGTTTTTTATTCATCGTGGATTATTTTATCTTGACTTTTATTGTATACTATTGATTACTGTGGTTAATTATTATTAGTTACTGATGATTGATCATTGATTGAGTGAAAGAGCCATGGGCATGGCAAAATTTTATATTTGTATACCTATATATACTATAGCTACTACGAACTTAACCTGCCCGTAAAATCCTGACGCATTTTACATTTGTTGATAGTTTGCTAGTCTTTATTATATTTATAATAATAATCTGTTGGAGGAAATCCACCCTCAGGGAAAACGGGATGTAATAACGGATAATAGATGGCACCACAGGGACACGACACAGCTGCCTCCCCTGCGCCCAACAACAAACAATATAATCTATAATTTGAGTATAAAATTGTATGTTTGTGAATGCGACAATTTGTTGGAGAGCAAACTGTTATTTTCATTTATGTCTGCTTTTCTTGATGTTGTAAATTTTCATGAATATTGATTCGATCATTACCTATACAGAATGGTAAGTCCTTCGCTTATGCATTTGACATGTTTTGTGACGTAAATTATGTGAGCATATGAATGACCCAATTTCTTACCCGTTACTGTACACAATTATGAATATGATTATGCCTGGTAATGAGGTTAGACATTGACCACAGGTATGGTGTCGTACGACTTTCTCTTTATTCGCAGAGGTTATGAGATACGCAGTCGACAATGCATGCACTGGTTATATATGCATCGTTAGTATTACTTCAGTAAACAACTTCTGTAAACAACTAACAATTATTAATGACGTGCCCTACCGTACCACCATTCAATGCCAATGGGTTTGCAACTGTCCACCCAGGTTAGTGTGGTAGAGCTAACTAATAGTAATAATAAGGTATAGATTCAATCCTACTATAATACCCATGGTTATAATAATATTAATAGTCTTAGGATTACCATTAGCTTGGCCTTATTAATATTATATTACTGGATATATGTATACTGCCCAATCGTTATATGAAGAAGAAAAAGACAGCATCTAGAATAATTGATCATTAACAAGTGTACTCAGTTGCTAGTGCTTCTTGCAGTTCACGTTCTTTGCTTGCACTGCCTTTATTCAGATAGCAAACGAGGGATGTGGAGAAAGCTTGTATCTCGATGGAGCGTCGGATATTCTTACACATGATACGTCAGAGGTGAAGCATGATCGTTATAGTCATGTAGCTAGCAATGATCTAAGGTTTATTTTGTAATCATTATTCATGTTTGTTTTGCCATGGTTTATATAAAATGTGGTAATTCATCCACTTCAGTTATTTTCAAATTTATAATGACGTAAATGAATCGATTCTACCAGCGTAGAGTTATGCGACGAAATGGCGAGGTGAAATAAAACTGGGACATGGAGCGGGTAATGCTTGCTTTATCGTACTGATGTTTTTCATTGCAGTATATCTGTATGTCTGAATCATCGACCAGGATTAGTGCACCTCTGTCTAACAACCGGAAGATTCTAGAAGGACAGTTTGCAATGCGTATGTTTGCGTAAACTTATCACGGTCGTACCATGTTACCGACGTTTGTTGCATGCTCATATTCGTATTTTACTGATATCGGAAATTATCAGTTCCACGTTATGCTTTTTTCAGAGTATGGCCATTAATTTTAGTTTTCGTCTTAAGAAGCTTTTACCTCCGTAAATCTGACGTGATCTGACGTATCGACGTATGGCTGTGACATTGGTCACTGTGTTGTTTAAAAAATGCAGCGGCCAGTCTTTATCGAACTATCCTAAAAAGCTCACGTGCGAATACCGATTTGCAGTCGCGTGTGAGAAGTGCGGGGATTCCCTTGGGAAGAAAGGTAGCAACTTGGGACAGACAAAGCGAGCTTTCTGTCTTAGCTGCTCCTGTGGCGTGGGTGCGAGCAACGACAGGAAAGCACAGCCGACAAAACCCAGGAGAGACGCACGAATGCAGGTCAGCGTTAAGTTCATCGTCGCAACGGCTGGCAACGTGATTGCCAAATTAAATTGATTAACTAGTTAAATTTATTCTCCTTGCCCAGAAGTGGTGCTGCCAATGAGTTTCACATGCCTGGTGATTTTTTATTAAATTCTTTTTATGCCAATAGTACGTTTATTGTGTCATAAAGCATAGTTCCAATAAGTTGTTTTTGAGACAGTTCTTTGTTGTTCCTCTTTTTTATGGTACCTTGGGTAATAAAGTTATTTTACACAGTAATATAGCCAAATTATTGGCATCGTATAGGTGACCGGACGGCAGAAAATTTCTGAATCTGTCAAGAAAAAGCATAAAGTTGAAGGCAAAGACAAGGGGAAACAGAGCCTAAACAACATGGAAAATTATACTATGTATAAAGGTATGTAAATGTAAAATAATGTAATGTTACCATCTTGCTTTTCAAAAATAGCACCTTCCTTCAGAAACTTATATCAGTTGTTTATAATAATACATGTAAACAGCTGCTTGCAACTTCAACTGCAGGAATTCGAAGACAAGTTTAGGCAGAGAATTATAGAAAATAAGGTACAAATTAAAAATTAAAAATGTAAATTTGATATTTGGAATATTACAGCAGACGGCTTCATGTGGGATGACATGCTCTCATCGCCGAACACGGAGGCAGCTTCCGTGTCGTCGTTCAAACACGTAAGTGTACCAGTAACGACCTTTATATACAGGTGTCTGTTCTATAGAGGTGTCCTTTATATACAGGTGTCTGTTCTATAGAGATGTCCTTTATATACAGGTGTCCAGGTGTCTGCTTCTATAGAGGTGTTCCTTATTATACAGGTGTGCTGGTTTCTATGAGGAGTGTCTCCTTTATATACACGTGTCTGTTCTAGAGAGGTGTCCTTTGTATACAGGTGTCTATGCTAGAGATGTGACC